AGCTCCGTGGGACAGGCAGGCGGGAACAGGGTGAGCTGGGGGCTGGTCTCGCTCCCTCCTGCTGGGCCGGCGGGCAAGGGGTGGCATTGCAGGGGTTAGTCAGAAACGCTCTGAAAACTGGAGTTTACAGGGAAAGGCAAGGAACTGCTAGGGAACCCCAGAGACTTACCAAGTGCTAATTTCTTAAGTGAAGGCGTAGAAACCAAGAAAAGGGAAAACATTTCCCAAAAAACCATAAAAATCACAATGAAGTCAGGCTGAAATTTTGATCACGGGTGGTGATAATAAATAAGACAGGTGGAATGGAGGAGCCTTCATTCCTGCCTTATGACCCTGTCGTGCATGCTCCTCTGAAGCGAAACCGCCCCTAATCCAGCTTGGAGCCAGGCCTTGCGCAGGCAGCCAGAGCCCAGCCCTGACCAGCCTGGGAGCCTCGCCACCACTGTGCCCCCAGCAGCAGGACCCGAGCAATGCCATGCTGGCTGGCTCTCAGCGCGTTTCCTTCAGAATGTTTAAAAAAGCTCAAGGAAAAAAATAAAAATAAAATATTCAAGAAATAACAAGTTTCAAGAATGCACCAACGATGACTTATACCCAACGAACTTGATATCACCACCAGTTCAAAAAGAGTCCTTCTGCTCCCTCCCTGCACCGCACTCCCGCCATTTGTTAAAGAGGAACAGGAAATAGACAAGGTAAACACATCGCTCCATCCCCGGGGCCTAATATCCGTTTCTTTGGTTATCTTATTTTGTATTTTATTTTTGTTAGGGGAGGGATGGTAGAAATGGAAATTACTGGCTAAATGAGATTTAGGGATTATTTGGAGGATTTATTATCATACATTCTCTCCATTGTAAGGCCTAATACAGATTTGGCTGTATCTTTATTGTGCATTAAGTAGCCAAGGAGTTTAGACTTTGCAGAGAACATGCGACAGGCAGATCACAGCATTTGCATCCTAATTTATTCTCACAAATGCTGAGTCCTATAGAAAGCCAGGACTGCCAACTGTCAGACATGCAACACAGTTGCAACAGCAAATAATATTAACGGTGTGGTTGCCTTTAAAGTTTTCCTTAACCACAGAGATTCTGCCTTGGCCAGTATTGACTAGACCACGTCAGTTGAGGTCATTCCACCTCCCTTGCCAGACATTCGTTTTGGCTCCGGCCATGTCATGTGACCTGGCCATGAGATATAAACAAAACTGCTGGAGGCTTCTGGAAATGTTTTCCTAGCTTAGAGAAAAAAAACACAACAGGGATTTGCTCCTCCTTTTTGAGGCCTTTGTGTGTGGCCATGGCATGCTACGGTGCTTGGAATTGCAGGGCTTTCTTGGGATCATGAGGGAAAAAGGTCAAGAACATTTCTTAGATGCTGCCCTCAGGTCCTGACGTCACAGAGCCACCCAACGAAGCAACCCTCCAATTATCATCTTCAGAAATGTCATGTTGTAAGAGAAGGCAATTTCCTCACTGCTGAAGCCATTTCACTAGGTACTCAGTAAATTGCACCTAAAATGTCATAACAGATCCTAGACTCCAGGGAGAATCAGGCAAACAACTGCAAACAATATGAAAGTCTGTTTGGGATCAGCAAACACTGAATAGTGATCATCATGTCCACAGTTGGCAGAGACGCTCTTGGGGACGCGATGGAATGTATGAATTGGTACAGCTTTTTCTAAAGGTCACTTGGCAGCAGCCACATAAATGTGCACATTTAAAATATGCATGCCCTATGATGAAACAATTGCGTTCCAAGAATCTATTGTGCATAACTCGCTCTCCTCTGTCCTGCTTTCGCAGGGAGGGTGACCTCCCTAACCTGCCTGGTCCCTTAACCCTAAAGTCTCCAGTGTGGCTCAGCAGAGGACCCAGGTAGAGGGAACAGAGCAGCGCCCTTCCCCAGCCTCACCACCCACCTCCCACCCTAGAGGCCTGCTCACTCAGACGTCTCAGCTTACAGCGCCTGCCTGAGAGGCAGCTCCCTTCCAGGGTAACTCTCTCCAGGGTCCTGACCCTTAATTCTGCCTGCACCCCCACCCCCGGCCCCCACTAATAGTCCCTGATCAGCTCCTCAGTTTAGCCCTCTGAGCACATCTGCTGCTCCACCTGCATCCAGCCAGGGCCCTGCCAGATACATTCCTCCTCCGAAATGCACGCCTGGTACCCCTGGACTTCCTCTTCCCCACGTGCACTAGACTTGAAGCTTGGGAGGCTGGAGTAGGTGTGTTTTTGTTCACTGTGGTAGACCCAGCACTTAACATGAAACTGCTAAATAAATATTTGTTTTATAGAAGGATCTGGTATAGAATGGATGAGCCACCCTTTACTGAACTGTCTCAGAGCCATTAGGACACAGGGACACAGCCATGAACACACAATCACACTCAGGGACGTGTCCCGTAAGAACGAGGCAAATCGTGTGTGTTGGTCAACGTATAAAGATAGAGATCTGTTAAGGGAAAGAAATGAAAATCACAATCTCTACAGTATTAACCTCTTTGTATAAATAGAAGTGGAAGCACACTCTTGTGTTTGAAAAGGAGAGGTCTGAGGGGGGAGTAGCTGGAACTTGGTCAGTTTGGGAGAGGGAATTTGGAAGAATGAAAAGGGGTCTTTTTTCTAAAAAATAATATTTCTACAATGATATTTTTTACTATAAGCACATATTACTAGACTTATTTTGGAATTAAGAAATCATCAAATAAGTAAAACTAGTCATGAAATTGGATTAAAATGGGACCTCCCCTGATTCCAGCAGCAAAAGGCCTGAACAGACCCTGGCAAAGCAGTCCGTGAGGGCCAGCAACAGGCCCTCAGTCACTCTCCTTTATCCCCACTTTGATTTAAGGGCGGCTCTGGGTCACTCTGACATCTAAAGCAGGTCCGTGACTCCCCCGACTTTATTGCCCACCAAAAGGCTCCCCCAGTGACCATTTAAAATGAGAACTCTAAAGAGGGGTCCACAGGCCAGCAGTTCCAGGGGCACCCGAGAGCCCATTGAAATGCCCCCCTCTCCCACACGCTGTCCATCAAGACCTCTTACTTCACTGGCTGGGCATTGCCATGGCCTGAGCACGGATGGAGCCCATCCCTCCACTGTGCCCCTCTGCAGCCAGCTCCGTCCCCCGTCCAAAGGGCTGAAAGCCGGGCCAGACCCGCCTGCCCTCCACTGCCCACATCACAGCCCCCCAGACCTGAGCTTTCTGTCTCACTGCCCGGCTCTTCCTGTGCCTCTGAAACCGCCTCTGGGCCCAGCAGGGTCATCTGGCCCCGTCACCTCACACCCAGCCTCATGCCACTCAGGTGCACTCCCTCGCAGGTGACCTACACCCTTAATGAGCTGGTCCCTGCGTCCTCATGGGGCCACTTCCCATCTGTCCGAGACATAAGCAGTCCTACAGCCGCACTACCCTACGCCATTCCTAAGACTCACCAGCCCCCCTCCAGGCCCTGTGGCTTTGGGGTGCACTGGCTGGGCAAGCCTGCCTCTGACTTCTTCGCCATCCAGCTCACGGACCCCCCTTCCAGAACCCCTATCCTAAGCCACCAGGCTGGATGGGGTGTTCTCACCCCGCGGCCCCCAGGGCACCCTCCATCAGAGCTCCATCAGGTGGCTATTTAACTGGAGAATTACTCGAGGGCAGAACTGCCCATGTCTCCCACACCATTGTCCCTGGCCCGGTTCCTGGCCAGTGGGAAGTAATGAATGACGGGCCAATGGTCATTGAACGCCCAACGATATCCATTTACACTTGTGCAGCTCAGAAAGCTGTGCACCTAGGCTTTCAAAGCCTGGCGAGCGTCACCTCTGTGGAGGTAAAGCTTCACACCCTGAGACCTGATGAAGGGAACGTGTGTTAACACAGCCTGAACTCTGTAAGTTGGGGACTTTCTGCAGAGTACGCGTCCCAATTGAAAGGCGGGCTGTGCACAGGCTGCTTCCCATTATGGGTAGTGAGATTGTTAGACGCTGGCTTTTCCACCCGCCCTGGGCCCCCTGTCGTGTCACCCATGCTGGTTTTGACGCAGGAGCTGGAGATGCAAGATGGGACAGGCAGGTCTCTGTGGGGGCAATGGTAGATATTTACTTTCCACAATCAGCACGCAGTGTGGTTTGGAGTGTTTTCTCCAGCTTCTCGGCCCTGACTGAGTCGGATTGCCAACAACTCTCAACAGTGAGGTGCTCATACCTGTTCTGAGCTCAGCCAGAAACAGCTTCTTTGCCACTGAGAGCCTGCGTGATGCGATGGATGTCATCTTGGAAGCCAAGCATTTTGAAAGTGGTCAGTTACCAAACTGGTTAATACCAGTTATAAATGAAGTGTGGTCCTGAAGCGACAAGCATAGCTGCCCTGTTTGTCTCAAAGAATGCCTGCATGCAATTCTAGAAGAGGACAGCCACAGTGCCCTCAGCAATGTCGGCATAAGCGAGCCCCTTGAGATGGCACCTGGGTGGAAGGACACTTACTTGGACGCACATTCATCCGGGTATCTCACAAACAGTCCCACCTTGTTACACTGACACACTGCAGCCATTAGCTCCTGGCAGAGGGCAAGGTGACCCTGTAAATATGCCTACTTTTATACATTAACTATCATTGACATGATTATTTCTCTTCCGCTAGTGAGTTCACCAGCATCTTTCTGTCCCCACACCTCCCACTGGGGTGAGCGCAATGCTCCAGGTGAAGTGACGATGAGGCTGGACTTCCAGTACCGTTTCGGGGTTAGATGTGCCCAACACCGAGTTCTGCACTGGTGGATAAACTCTGTACCATTCCAAATGCACAGAAAACGTGCACACACACACACACCCATCGACCTTTTCTTGTACCTCAGCTGAAGAGGATTTCTGCTTAGTTTCCATTTTTACAGTAATGTCACAAGCTGATGGTGTGAGCACACCCCACCTCCCCCACCCCACCCCCACCATGCTGGCAGCGGCTCCCCGGCCTGGGCCCTGGAGGGAAAGGAAAAGCCAGGTCTTACCTGCCTGTGCAGCTGTGATTAAGGCCGTGTTCCCTTCGTTGTCCTGCCAGTTGACATCAATGTGGGGACACTCTGCTAAGACCACCACAGTATCCACAAAGCCATGGTAGCAGGCGACGATAAGGCCAGTCTAGAAATAAAGAGACAAGGGGGTCAGAGGAGCAGAGCCCGGAGCGCCCCTGTCCCCCAGAGGCTGGACCAGCAGCAGGGAGGACCAGGAGGAGGCCCCCGACTCCCCGTCCTCCCCGTCCTCAGCGGAAGTTTAAAGCAAGCCAGATGTCCATTCATTCTCAAATGTTCATTGAGCACCAACTACAAGTGCCTGGGAAACACCAGAGAACCAAAATCCCTGCCTTCAAGGGCTTGCCTTGGTTGGCGGGAGGCGGGGGGAGGGCGGGGGCAGAATGGGGAGATATAAACTGTAGACCTAAGCTGTGAGTGATAGTGCGAGAATGTACGCTAGGCTAAGGGAGGTGGCGAGTGCAGGGCAGCGACAGCTCCGTCTTAAATAGAGTGCAGGGTGGGCCCACCCAGGAGACACTGACAAGATGAGGAGGTGAAGAAACAAGCCCCAGGGGCGTGGAGGGAAAGGTGCAGGCAGAGGACAAGGCTGGCCCTCCCAGAGACCAGCCAGGATGCCTGCGGAGCAGAAGTGAGCAAGGGGGAAGTCAGGGAAGCGGCAGGTTCTGGGAGGGCCCCAGGAACGCTGGGGGCCGTGCAGTGTGAGAGGAGCCTCCTGAGCCGTCAGCGCCAGCCGTCGGCAGGACTCGGGCTGCCGGGTGGGAAACAGGCCCCTGGAGACCAGGATGGAAGCAGGAGACCCGTGAGGGGGATGCCGGATACAAGTTGGAGTGCAGTATAATAAAAAGTATTTGGTGTTTGCCCCCAGTCCCTGGCACAGCGCTCCTCAAACCCTTAGAATTCACTGTTTTTATATGCTAATAAGATGACTCCCGGGAGGAGGCGGGGTGGCACGCTCCAGCGTTAGGGCTAGTCTCTAGAAAAACCTACCACAGGATTAGAGAGTTAGCTCTTTCGGCTCCACCCCTACCCCACCCCGCCTCCAGGGAGGGGAGAAGGGTAGAGATGGAGTTCAATCACCAATCGCCAATGATTTAAGAAAGCAAATCAGGTCCACTTAGCGAAAGCTCCATAAAAAACCGTCAGTGGAAATTTTAGGCTTCCCACACTGAGACTTACATGATAATTAAAATCATTACCTTTCCCCTACCTTCCAGGGCTGACGTTCCCATGGTTCAGCAATTTTCAACCTTTTCTATCTCATGGCACACATAAACTAGTTACTAAAATTCTGCAGCAAACCAAAAAAATGTTGTATTTTTTGCCATTGTGACAAAAAAAAAACACCCAGGTATAATTTTGATTCACTCACATCGAAAGCCTATTGTTTGGTTGGCTGTTGTCGGTTTTTTTATTTGACAATCTAAGGGAAAAGAGGTCAGTGCCCCTGACTAAATGGTCGGGTATTGCATGTTTTAAAAATTCTTGTGCCGTGCCAGGTTGCCGCAGCACACCAGCTGAAAATCGCTGCCATGTTTAAAAAAAGTGTTGAGGTATAGTCTCAATTCTGTTTTAACTGGTGCATTTGGTGCCCCCAACAGAAAGGTGGAAAAAGAGGTACAATCTATGGCAATCCCCTGACCGTGGTTTTCCAAGGAAAACTGTAACAAGAGACTTATCACAAAAGCAAATATTGTCCCCTTGCTGCATTCGTAGAAGCCCACTTGCAGATGGCTCCCTTGCTGAAACCATAAATAGTTTTTTTTTAATTATAAGCAAAATGTTCATAAAAATAAAATAATATTATTGAGAAAATATAAGTAAGCTACCTACAAATGAAAGCCCCTATTTGGAGGTAACTATAAATTCTCGGCTCTCCAAACACAATCCCAGCCCTGCCTGGCATAGCTCCATTGTTTGGGTGTTGGCCATGAAGGGAAAAGTTACTGGTTTCAATTCCCGTCAGGGCACATGCCTAGGCTGCAGGTTCGGCCTCGGTCCAGATGCATCAGAGAGGCAGCTGATGGATGTTTCTCTTTCACACTGTTGATTCTCTCCCTGTCTTTCTCCTTCTCTTCCCCTCTCTCTAAAAATAATTGAATAAAATCTTAAACACACACACACACACAAGCCCAATTCTCAAAGTCTACACACCATAGAAAAGTCGGAGCAACACCACCAAAAAAATAATATTGATAAGTTGAGGTGATTCTACTTAAAACTTGTGTTTGTACATCAAAAAACAAAAATAAAAAACCAAAACGTCATTCCTTGCCAGAAGGATGGAAGAGCACCAAGATTCTAATAACATCATTTATTATATTAACAGATTAAAGGGGTGGGAGAGGAGCAAGAGTGATCATCATCTAAGTGAGTTAACATATTACGAGTAATATCCTCTGTAAAAGGAATAGGGACAGAGGGTGTATATGATGGTTAATTTTATGTGTCATGATTTTAAGTGTACCCAGATCTTTGGTTAAACATTATTCTAGATGTTTCTGTGAAGGTACTTCTGAGATGAGATTAACATTCAAATAGGTAGATGCTGAGTACAGCAGATTGTTCTCCATGATGTGGATGAGCCTCATCCGATCAGCTGAAGACCTGGGTAGAACAGAGTGAGAAGGAACTCTCTGCCTTTGGACTTGAACTTTAACTCCCTCCTAGGTGTCCAGCCTGCCAGCCCACCCTGCAGACTTTGGACTTGCCAAGCCTCCACAATTGCATGAACCGATTCCTTAAAATAAATCTGTGCCTGTGTGTACCTATAGATATCTGCAAATAGATATAGCTAGATACACACACACACACACACATATTTTACTGGTTCTGTTTCTCTGGAGCCCCCTGATTAATACAGGGTAGATATGGCAGGAACACTTTGGAAGAATTCTTTTCATTTTTCACTGTCTCTTTCTATACAGTTAGAATTCTGTAAAATGAGGCTTTATTTATAAGGCACCCACATGATTTTAATTTGCAATGAAGAACAAGTAAGCAAACATGATGTTTACATTAATAATGTTCTCATTAGGAAATACAGTTTTATAACAACCACGTGAATGGCTGTGAAGAGGGGAGGAGGGGCGCTGGGCAGAAGAAATGGAAGCTGACAAACAGCCAAGGGAAGAAGCAGACACAGCCCACGGGCAGATGGTGCACTAACAGAGTAATTCATCCTGATCACCCAGAACGAAAAGGTCATTACTCATGTTTGAATGTGAGAAAAAAATTCCATCATCCATAATATAATTTTTTTTTAAGTTCAGAACCAAAACAGTAAACTTGAGTTAGTTGAAAATCCATTTCTGTAAAACATCTTTCCCCATAATAATACCACTGACAGGGAGGGGGTATGTTTATGTGGCTTTAGGGAAGAATTCAGGAATTCTAGTCTTCCAGAGACATAGTTCTAAAAGGAGGCCATGCATTACCGCTAGCATGAGTGCAATTTGTTGCATGAAGTGTGTTAGGCATAGTTTCAATAATCTTGTTTATAACTAAGCACCATGATGAGAAAGTAAATTCCAGAACTGGAATTTGATCTACGCTGATCTCTCCAACAAGGCCACACAATGTCTCATGGCTTGAGTTCTCCCCAGTGCCAATTCCAGGCTCAGGTTCCCGTACCTCCAGGCCTGTGCATGTGCAGCAGCCTCTGCCTGGACTGCCCTTCCTCCCACCCCATAGTCTTCATCATAGAGTCTGCCTGCAAGTGTTGGTTCGAGCCCCTTTGCACCCGCTTTCCGATGCTATCATTGGGCTGCCTTGCACACACCACACCTCATCACAAAATGAGCACTTCTTAACTTTGTCTCCCCAGGGCCTGACATCTACAAGACACTCGATAAGCATTTGTTGAATGAATGAAATGTCCCTGAAATGTTTTAGTACCACCCACTTCTCAGTCTCACAGTACTCAACTTACTCTAAACTGAGGAGCTGACAGGTGGTGACGTGAGCTTTGAGCTTGTTATCTGACTTCCACACTCAAGTTTGGAAATTATCTAAGGTCCCACGGAAACCTCAAAGAGGAGAGTTGCCTTTCATGTGGTAAGTATCACTCTAGGCTGGTGCTGCCAGACCTAGAGCTGAAAAATATAGATGTGAAAGCAATAGCCAAAAGCAAAGAAAATGAAGGTGGGCTCAAGAATTCGACAGAGGAGAGGGGTATAAGGGGACTTAATGGTAATGAAAAAAATATACTGAAGATTTTATTTGTAAAAAAATAAATAAAAGGCAAAAAAAGAAAATTCAACCCCAAGGAATTCATTTCAGGGACATCAAAAGTGTGTCAAGAGATCTATATAAAGATCTGTAACTGCAAAAGCCTGAGAACAACCCAAATATACATCGAGACGATGACAGGCTGACCACATGCTATGGGACACTCTGTCGCCCCCAACAGGCATGAGGCTAGAATGGAGGTGCTGCTGTGAAAAGATCTTTGTGGGATATTAAGTAAAAATAATAACAAGAACAATAATAATAACCACGACAGGTCAGGATATGATAGATATGACCTCTTTTTGTGTGAACTTCTAAAACATGTGCATGGCTCCTGCAATGGCTAGGTTCATAAAAGATCTTTTATTTTACTAAAGGGAGATGAAAAATGTTAACTGGCTACCTTCAAGGCATGTAAGAGAGAGGTTTTAAGGGCTTATTATATAGTTTGGATCTGTCTCAATGTCCTTTCAAGGCATACACATTTTCTTCATCATACAAATAAAGATATTTTGGCAATGGAGTTACAGGTGATTACTTATATTTTTATTTATGCTTTTCTCCCTCAAATAAAGAGAGGTCTAATAGACTGTTTTAAATATTAAAAAGAAACATTATGGAAGATAAAATGTATAAAATATATCAGGAGAATTCTTACAGAGGCAGGGCTCACCTAGCAAACTTTGGGTGAGGAGTAGATAAATATAAGGTTGTCCTAATTCAGAATAACTTCACTTTAGATGGAATTGTGCATAAGATGTGAATTTTATTATCACTGCAAATCTCTTGTTTGGATTTGTAATTTTAGACTGTTATTTTAGAAAACTACTTTGTTCAACTACAGTCTCTTCCAATCCAATGTGTGTGCATGTGTATGTG